TTTTTTTTTTCCAAAAATATTTAAACTTTGTTTAATATTAACACTTTCTAATCACATTAATATTCAAATTTTATAGTAACCAATGGTCACTTATTGGTATTTATTTAAAGAATATATACATTACTAACAATTTTTTCGGTAAATATCAAAGTATAATAGAGAAATGATTTTCAAACATTAAATATTTACGCTTATTATGTATATAAAACTGTAAGCAATTTATGCGCGATAATTATTAATTCTTCTTCAGATCTTCAGTGGACGATACTGTATCACATTATGGTAATACTATAAAAATATCAATCAGTTCAACGATACGATCAACGCCAACAGAATAACATTCCATTTGATAATGATTCCCAACATATAACTTTGTAACTACTGTATTTCTGTACAAAATAGAAAAAATATTGAAAATAAATTAATTATCGTTAATTTCTCATAAATTTTAGACGTTCTAGAATACAGCAAATTATTATTGATATAACTTGAGAAGAAAGGATCTAAATAAGTCAATCAAAATTTATTCCAATCAAATTTTGATTTTACTTTTTGAATAAGCAAATATTCATTTGAGTAATTCATAGACTTACATGCAATGAAATTGTTGAAGAGGTTTAATCTATTAACCTGAATACTTGAATACTTGAGTACTCGAATATAAAATTAATAATTACACCTTTTTCAAGTCAAGTCTGTATAATTCGAAAATAGTAGTTTTGACATTTTTTAATGTGTGACCTAAACTGAGTAAGCGTTGAAAATGAGCTTTGTGAGTTTGGTATATAACGAATATGTACAAACATTTCTTCCATATATGTGCTTTTTATGTGACTAATTAATTATACATCTATACTTTATGAGTCTTTGACTAAAGTTAATAAAGTTAAAGCATAAACTTTGTGGCTGAAACAAAATTTAGAAGAGAAAAGACATAACGCGATTGAGGAGAAGACAGAAAGAAGACAATTGCAAAACACATAAGAATAGAGATTGATGGGAATTGCGAAAAAAAATGATTTATAACGTGTGAATCATCCAGTGCGCAAAAATTCCATTAACTGACGTTCAAATACAGGTTTATTCTAAGCAAACTGGAGATCAATGTTGATATGTTTAAATTTTAAATTAATCCCTTTTTTCTGAGTATTATATACGCCGGTATTTTTTATATTCTTGCTAGAATTGCGGAAATGCGTCAAGTCAGATCTTTTTTTATTCACGCCAAATAATGCTTTGATTTTGATTATATTCTTGATTCGTTTATTATATTTTCAGAAAACTTAAAATGCTAAACATTAATGTCATTGATTTTCCGAGTTTTATATTTAGACGTTTGCTTTTATTAATAGACTAGACAACTGTTCGTATATTCGACGAAGAGAGGACAAGACTAACGCTTTTAAATTGCTTGCTTGCTGTAAATCATATATATATCTATAATCTAGCAGTTTGCATGTTTTTAAGCTTGTAGCTTTTACTGCTTGCCTTTACAATATCTATAATATCACTCAAACTCATAAAGGGCAGCTCATAACCTTAAAGTCACGAAATTCTGTATACGTTGACCATTCCGTAAATCAAATAATGACTCTTCACACGTGGATTTAATATACATAATTGTGACATATTGATGTAAAACTTGTATAAATCGCATTATAATTAAGGTAATGGTATTAGAAGTAATTGATCTAGTTACGTGATTTGATTATGTCACTATTGGTTTTTATATATTAGATGTTTAAGCCTTGGTATTTCCAGTTATTCATTTCGTTTGCAGTTATTGCACTAATCAGTCAATATTTCGATCATTTAATCCTATCGCATCTTTGTTTCAGTTTAGAACTGGAAGTTATCGTTTCATTGTAAAGTAAACAAAAAAACAAGCATGGGAAGACTTTTAAATTTATCTTTGGTATTTATTTAAAATACTAATGTTATTTCATATAGTTGTCATAGAATATGTGCATGTAATATAGAAGTATAAAATATTTGCTAGATCGATGTGATAAAGCATGATATGCATTCGAATAAAGAAATTTTATTTCCAGTTTTGTTTTTTCAGGTAAAAAATCCGCAAAAGTCATTGTCATATTCTATTCGATTACAATCATCGCTTACTGATGCGTCGAGGCAACTAGTAAAAATGACAAAAAAAACAAACAAATTTATAAATAGCGCAGAGAATGCTGTGGATGATGGGATTAAAGGCTTAGTTCTTTCGCATGATAATTTGGCAACGTTAGATGTGAGGATAATTGTGTTTTTTTTTTTAATTTGATGACTTGCAATATTTCGATTGTCTAATTGGAAGTTAAGTCTCATTGAACTGTAATTCATATCAAGTTCACTCTTCAATAAGGAATAAAAATCTGTGTTCAGAAGCTAAAATTTCAGCAGGGAATTAATGTACAGTCAGAAATCTCATCTATAATAGATCCAATACAAACTTACCAAAAATTGGCTTTTTTTTTATTTGATGGCTATTCACTACAAGAAATAATGAAAGGGAATTAGGATATTTCAATTCATTTTCCCATCATCAAAAATTCTGTTGTAGTTAGAGAACTGAGATGAATTTAGTAATCAATACTTTTGTATACTCTGTTCTTAACCTCTTCTAAAATTTTAGTCGTGTCATCGTGTAGTACTGCGAGCTGATGTCGAGCAGTTGAAAGGAGGGAAGCAGGTTACGTTGCTTGCTGGTGGAGGCTCAGGGCATGAACCATTTGCTGCTGGTAATATTTACAAATTTTGTATCTTCAGTTCAATACATCTCTCAATTTTATGCTAAATCATTCAGTAATTCCTGCCAAAAATTGTAACGAAGAAATTGATTATATGAAAAAATTTGGATTTTGAAGGTTTTGTCGGGAAAGGATTACTATCAGCTGCGATTTGCGGGAATGTTTTCGCATCACCACCAACATCACATATCACGGCTGGCTTAAATGCCATTCGGAACAGATGTAAGTAGTATATAGTGAATGTTTCATACAGTATCATTTTTGGATTTCGACAAGTAAGAAGAATGTTATTCTGTGGTACATTCTTCATTCTTATTTTGTCATTCACAGTGTTTCTCCAGAATACACTGTTAAACCGTTTTTTGTTCCAGCTGGTATAGGAGTGTTTGTTATTAATTATACCGGAGATCGACTCAATTTTGGTTTGGCTGTAGAACGGTTTAATACTTGCCGAGGAAACGAGGTTCTTTGCTTTCTAGCCTCGTATTTTCTTACACATCCACAAACCTTTAATGGTTTCAAATGGTCTTTTTTCTATATCAAGGAAACTGTAGACGGTTTCATTTTAATTTTATGAATACATAACTAAAAAATATTCGATTTCTTCTCTTTGGAAAATCAACTTTCGCAATGTTTATTTAAACTTTCATTATGAAGAATAATTTATACTTTGAAATTAAAGTCTACATTTAGCTTGATTTTGTTGAACATATTTTTAATCGTTTAGGATGGTGCAGCTGAAATGGTGTTGATTGGTGACGATATAGCTTTGGAGAACAATCTTGCTGGTAGTGATATTGGACGTCGTGGCTTGGCAGGAGCTGTGCTGCTTCTTAAGGTAAAATTTTAGCAAGTTCTACTAATTTCGATTTTGCAAACTTTCATAACATTTTCTTCTCACAAAGTATAACTCTTTTTCTTAAGATTGCTGGTGCATTAGCGGAAGAGGGTAAAGATCTGAAGGCT